ATCAGGCTTGAGTAATAACTTAATAAAAATGCAGGTGCCGGTGATACTGCAGAAGAAGGGCACAGCCAGATGTCATGGAGTCTGTTTAAGTGTATATTTTCCTCACTTCATCTCAGAATTTTCTTATCTATGTAGGTATGGAGCAAGGGACAGAATAGGATGCCAGTTCTTGCTGTCCATGAATTAAGAGTTTTAGAATTCAAAGATCATTAAAACATGTGCTTATGCCGCCTTTCTCTCCTTCCCAGAATGGAACCCCACACCCTTTGAGAAACTTTAGAAAATATGCACTCTGCCTTACTCCTTATTCAGCCAAACTTTTGGCAGAATGAGCTCATGGCAGTGTCTTATCTCTCACATCAGTTTTTGAGTTTTTAGTTCTCAGTTTTATTTTTCTGTACTAGTTGCAATCTGGTGCGTAACACTGTGGTATAATTGAACATGACTTGAACAACACCGTGGACCTGAATTGATCACTGCAAGGCAAATCTCCAAAAAGAAATGTGAAAATTTATTTTTTTCCTTCTCTGTGAATAAATATTTGGGGCTGTGAAAAAGTAGATTCCTGAGATGATTTGGTGTGTTAATAGAACAAACACCTGTTCCCTGGGTAATTCCCAAACCTGGGTTAGCTAGTCCAGATTACGGTTCTTTCCAGAGCCTGTTCCAGGAAACACTAGTCCTTTGATCTGCTTTACAATCAAAAGGATGTGAAATGAAATGAAACAAGACAAAATAAAATACTTGGCATTGGGTCATGAACATTTAAAACCATGAATATTATTTCTACGTCCTGGAGTCTCACAACACTTAGGTAGATCGTAAAAAAAATATTTCAGTGAGGATGAAACTATATTTAATTTTCAAAACCAGTGTTTCTTAGAACTGTTAGATTAATCAACTCATTCTTTTGTAATTATCTGTTATAATTCCCCTAGAACTAGTGTTCTAAGAAACTCATTTGAGGAAATATCATAGTTCATCAGTTTCTAGATGCTTATTGTCTTCACTTCTTTACACCTCTAGAATTGGGATGTTTCTTATATTTGATGATGTCCTGGCTTCAATGAAATATGGTTTTACCCTAGCAAATTTAATGTCAGATATGTGTGCTATTTTAGTTATGATTAAGCTCATCTGAGAGAGACAAAAATTCAGAATGATAGTGGCTTCAATAACATTGGAATTGGTCTACCACCAACAAGTCTGGAAATAGATGGTCCTCCATTAGAATTGCACTCCATGGTGTTGGAGACCCAGGCTTCTTCCTTTTTGTTGTTCTGTATTCAAGTCTTTATATCCAAGGTCATATCATGGTTCAAGGAGGCTATTCCATGTCTATCTGTAGCTGGAAAATAATTTCTGGTAGCAGGAAAAAATAAATAAATAAATAAAAAGGAATAAAAGTGAGGCGTCATTTGTCTCTTAAGGAAAGTTCTCAGAAACTGCCAATGACACTTCTGCTTATATCCCAGGGGCCAGTACTTAGTAAGGTGGCCACACAGAGAGGAACTGGGCAATGCAGTCATTTTTTTGAGCTGCATTTTGAGCTGCATATGATGAGCTAAAATTGTTATTTCTATGAATAAAGGGAAATCCTATGAAAAGGGGAAGGGTTGGAGAAGAATTAGTACTACCTGCCATAGTATGATCATGAAATATTGATATTTATAGATCATTAAGCAAATTACCCCATAAATAGAAACTAGGGAAATATCCAAGTTAACCCTTCCAGAGTTAAAAACATGAAGATGAATATTGTTGAAGATGAAAAATTCATTTTGCCATCAGCAACCTGAAAATTAATCTTATCCTCTCCAATTAGTTTAGAAGAAATTTAGTTTAGAAGTAGTTTGGAAGAAATTTCTTGGTATTCATGGCCTTGGGTTGTGAAGGGCAGAACAAAATGATATTCTCTGTTGAGTTCTTTTGATTCTCGGGTCACTCTGATTATCCAAATTTAAGTGGAGGAAAGTGCAGCCAGAGATAGAGGCAGTCTCACATGGTGGATATTGTGGAGATATGGGCTCTGAGTAAGAATGTCCAGAATGTCCAGAATTTGACTAGAGTGTTCTCAACTGCTCTATGATTATGTTTGCATTACTCTTTCAGAGATTTTGATTCAACTAAATGCAGAAAGTATGTTAAAAAATTCTTCAGTGTTCACCATTGTCTTTAATTTTTATATTTGCAATATCTTTAATCTCTAATTTTAAATAGAAATATTGAAACTGGGAGACTGTTCATATTTAGCCTCAAATTTGACTAATGTTAATTTGGAAGTACGACTAGATTATGACTGAAATTTTTTGATATTACAGTTACAATAATTAAAAATGACCATATGCCACAGTGTAAATCCTTTTAAAAATAAATTTGTATCTTATTTAAGCCATTGTCATTTTGAAATTTCTGTCACTCTCAGCTGATACTCTTGATTCTTTTGCTTTATTAATCTAACCTTTGGCATACATTCAAAAGTATGTGTTGAAGCCAAATTTGTGTTACCGGTTCCTAAAAGCTATTATTCCATGATGCTTGCCTTTATTTATAAGTCATTAAAAACACTCTTACTTTACAGGGGCATGCAATAATTATGGAATAATGGGATATATAATTTGCTCTTTATTTATTATGTCAGATTATCTGATATCATAAGGCAAATAAAATTACAAGATAGTATATTCCTGTTGATCTTCAAATCCTATGGGCTTATTTTTAGGAAAAGAGGTATTAAATAAGTGATAAAAATTCAGAAAGATCCAATACGTGAGCCTTTTGAATTGGACCTGGCTTAGTGGGTTGATAAATGCTTTGCTTGTTATTTCTCTATTGCCTTATGTTATTAAGAAGGATTAACCATTAGTATTTTTTAAGCAAAAAATCATAAAAACAACAAAAACAGACTGTTTGTATTTATAACAACAAAAACAGATTGCTGATATTTATAATTTAACTTAATGCACCTAAGGAGGAAATATTTTTTTAAGAGATGCAATCTACCAGTTAAGTCTATATTTCTTCATCATTATGAGATATTTATGGAATACCTCCTATGTGCAAAACATTCTGATAGGTTTTGGCATATGGAAGTCAAATTCTAAATAACTCAACCAGGCTGAAATGTGTTTGAAGTAATAGTTGTATTTTTATTGCTTCAATAGAGTAAAAGGAAAATATCCTAGCTATTTTATTAAATTATAAAGTGATAGCATAACAACCAACACTTCACCTGTTTTCCTAGAAACTTGAGACCACTTAGTACTATAAATATTTAGAAGCACACTGATATGGCAATGATAATGAAACTGGAGGTTAGTAATTAACAAGATAGGTGTATTTCCACTGCAGTTGGAAAAGACTCCTTTGGAGAGTGAATCTATCTCTCTGGAACTAACTCTTTGGAGCAGTCAATTTATTCTGCTCCAACTGTAGGTTTCAGCAGTCAGTCCCATGGCTTACAGATCTAACATCACCTGGATTTCTGCATATCATGGATTTCCACAATACTGCTCCTAAAGGTATCATGCAGGCACTCTACTTGATGTGATCTACTTGACATTTTCTATACTTTTTCTATACATTTTCTATACCTTTCTTCCATCATCTAAATAGCAGTGTTTTTAGTAGTTGAACTCAGGATTTAATAACTTTCTTATTGGGTGATAATAGTCTCTTTAAATCAAAACTAAACTCTCTCATTAAAATTCAAATTTATAAATATTTTGGAGGGATATCTTTTCAAGCTGACATGTAAATTCCAAATCTTCCTTTAGTCTCTGAAGCAATTATATACCTGTCAGAAGTAATTTTGTTTGCAAGATACTGGATCAGTAGCCCAACTTGTTTAATGGAATGCATAATCATTAAACTTTTAAACAGGTAAACTTTTAGCTTTTATGGACTTTTTACTTCTGTTGCAAAATATCAGTGTATTTCTAATAAAGAAGGAAATGATAAATGGAGCTTAGTTTTAAGAATTCTAAAACCTGGGTCTGGTTTCATGGGTATTTCTTATTTAACCTTAATGTCATTTAACTTTTAGAAGTTTATCTCCTCATTCATAAAGTAGAGTAAATGATATTTGCCATGATTATATAACATAGAGCTATCAAGAAGATAAAATGTTGAGAAAAAAATGAAAATCTTAAAGCACTCTCAAAAATGATATATGTGAATGTGTGTATAATTAAGTGATAAAAATTAATAAACATAATTTTTATTTTGTTTGAGTCATTATTTATGGAAGTGAAAGTTATCACTCGAGAAAAATTTGGGGAAAAAAACAGGGTATGGTGTTTGAGATCTTCTTTGAGTGACTTGAACGAAGCAAGGCCCTTAACTTTTAATTTACCTTCTTGGAAAGACAGTAGGTGAAACAGATTCTATCAGGACTTGAACATGGTTCTCTGAAGACATAATGGTATTGTACATTTGGCATTCCCACAAAAGCCCCTTTTGGATCTTCAATAATATTTATAATATCAACCAATTCATCCTAGTTTTTTTCATAATGGCCAGGGTAAGTTTGGTTCTTCCTGGACTTCCGAGTGTAGTAATGCATAGTTGCTACAGATGCATTGTTTCGAAATTAATTTCATACAGAATCACACTCTCTAATGTAAGAAGGGACATAAAAGTAAATGTTATTTCTGAGACCAATTTTAATAACCATATTGTTTTTCATATGGATGATGATCCAAACTCTGATTCAAGATGATAGAAACATTGACTAAAATTATTGTGTTGTATGCTAATCCCTCCAAAATTCTACATCTTGTTCTTAAGATATTGCTCTATGTTAGGATTCCCTGCATTGAATTATTTTTAAATGTATATGAAATAGAAATCCTACACTATTAATACCTTTCAAGGATGTCATCAGAAAACATGAATGTATAAAAAATAATGATAAACATTATAAAAAGCCTTGGCACATTCTTATAACAGTTATTGGGATACATTTGAAGAAATCTGACATGTCTGCTTCTCTTCTTTAGGCTTCTTTACCTGCAACAACTGATCTTCCAGAGTTTTTTATTGCTTCTTATAAATGGCCTGGATGGACTCATGGCCCATTGGATCAAAAAAATTGTGCTGCATCATGGGCATTTTCTACTGCAAGTAATAAAGTCATTTTAGTTACTTCCTTGTAATTCTCCCTTTAAGTCAAGATTCTGGGACAGTAATTAAAAGATTTTGAAATTTAGAATATTTCAATATTAACATTTGGCCAATTAAAATAAAATCATATTCAGACCAGAGAAAGCAGCCTGAACATTATATAAAAATTCCATTTTCACTCTGAAAATTCATCTTGATTTTTAGGGTATAATTTTAATTGGAGAATAAATCAAAAGAGCAACAAAGAAAAGTTACCAAAATTTTTTTGTCCTTTGAGTTAAAGCCAGATGATAAGAAGAGTGTAAAGTATGTCTTCATTCATAATATTATCTGTAATACTAATATGAAATTACACATACCTATATAATTCATGTATTCTTTTTCCTTTACAAATTTGCAAAAAAAAGTCTTATTATTAAACTACTTTGATGTAAAGAAATACTTCAGAACAAGATAATAATGGATTAAATGGGTTTTATCATTTAGATGAAAGCAAATTTGTAGCTTTTGACTCTAAAATGTTTAAGAGTAGCTTCCAAATTAGTATTGCTGTTACTTCAAAAGGATCAGGAATACTACTTTTATAGTTACTTTCATAAAAGTTCACAAGTCCAATAAATCAATACTCAAGTTAATCTTAAGTTTTGGTCTCTAAGGTATCCTCAAAGGAATGTTAATTATATTGCAGCAAATAACTTAAGCCTAACATAATGTTGATTGGCTACTATCAAAGGTCTTCATTAAACTATGTTCTAGGCTTTGAAGGTAATTTCAAGAGTGCTCAGAATTCTAAATTCTTAGCACAGAAAACATTGTAAAACAGGTACATAGGTTTACAGAGATGCCAAGCTCTGAAGGGTAATACTATTTTAGACAGAAAAGTGCTGATATACTTGTTTAAATATCATTGCTTCATAATATAAGCTAGTTTGTTTTAGAAATGATGACTTTGGCCAAGCTTACCCCTGGAATGGCTTTATCTACTAAGTCTATTCTACTTCCTACTCCTCTAAAACAAATGCTTTCTGGATTTCTGATATTTGATCACTTATTAAGGATCCACATGGTGGTCCTGTTTGAGCCTTGCTTCACATGGGTAGGGAGATACTTAATCAGATAAATCATTTGTCACTTTGTGTTCATGTGGTTAATGTATTACACCTCTTAGGGGATATATAAGAATTTTGCTTTAAATGGAAGCTAGACCAGTATTTCTGAAGCTATCTTAGGAAAGATGTTGCTGGTTAAATAGTGAGAGTAACATGCTAGTCTGATTTGGATGGTGTATTTTGGTGTCCCCAAGACATAGTCCCACGAATGGCCTCTGCCGAGGTTTATGTATGGATTTGTCTCCTACCTAATTCACCAAAACACTAGAAAGAGGGTTTTCAACACTTCTGTGGTTTCAGATGACATGGTTTTTATCTTGTGTATTCAGTATGACAAATCAAACTCATGCTGGTTTTTTTCTGAGTATGTTAGGTAAAGAAAAGAATAAACTAGGTTCTTTTAAGAATCCGTGTAACTGTGTCAGAAAATAATAGTTAAAACAAGAAAAAAATGTTTTTCAAAGAAGCTAAAAGCTATTAGATGAGATAAAGAAGACATTTTAAAATATACATATATAAAACAAAAATTAGACAGCCAAATACAATTTAAGGACGATGTCAGAGACAGAAGAGGTGAAAGAGTTTGAAATGGGAGGCGTGATGCTTGTCACAGGCAAAGATGGAGATATAATAAATAAGCAGGGGAAATGGCAGTGTGTCTCAGAGTTAAAGGCCAATAATAGTTTTCAAAAAGAGGGTAGAAATCAATTCACTGAGCTGAGTCATTCTTAAGTATTTCAAATGAATTTGGATTAAACATTCACTGAGATTCAGAAATGTTTGTCAAAGAGCAACATATTGTGTCCCGTTGGAATTTAAAATATTTATCCTTGAGTTGAAATCTACAGATTCATGGGGTTGGGAGGGATCTTAGAGGTCGCATTTTTCAAGCCTTTGGTTTTCTAAAAAAAGTACAAGTAGATAAAATGACTAACCCTATCTCAGAAATGATCCTGGAAGTCAGGTTACTGATTCCTTGACTGCTGTTGTCCCAAGTAGTTTTTGAACTAGGGAATAGTTAGACTAACATTTTCAAATTTACATTGGATTCTGAACCCTTGATCTGAAAGTCAAAGCATCAGAAATTTTCTATTTTCTTCTATGAAAGAAGGAGTTATTTTCTTTTTTTTTTAGATTTTTTTTTTAAGATTTTATTTATTTATTTGACAGACAGAGATCACAAGTAGGCAGAGAGGCAGGCAGAGAGAAAGAGGAGGAAGCAGGCTCCTTGCCTAGCAGAGAGCCCAATGCGGGGCCCGGTCCCAGGACCCTGGGATCATGACCTGAGCTGAAGGCAGAGGCTTTAACCCACTGAGCCACCCAGGCGCCCAAGGAGTTATTTTCTTGAGAATAGCAGAGGTGATAGTAGAATGTCATCTGCTCTTATGAAATATATCCCAGCATAGTAAGAGGTGGGAATTGAGAAGGAAGTAGGAGGTTATAGACTGAACAGATATTGAACATTTAAAATGTGCCAAAATTGCACTGCAGAATTATACATATGCTGTAGTTACATAAAAACCCTGTACATACAGAAATATATATGTAAATGAATTATTTAAAAATGAATTATTTTAGAATAATTCTAAATTAGCTCCTTGAGAAGTTCCAGTATACAGATAATTTTGATGGGCAAAACTACAGCTTCTTCTGAGAAAATCGGATGGATAAAGAAAGTTTACTTTTTTGCCTTTAATTAAAAGTAATTAAGTTTAAATATCAAGAACAAACTATACCAGTTACCCAACAACCACAAAAATTTGTACCAAAATTTTCCCATGATCTCATCATTCGTATTAGTTTATCATGGTAGCATAATCAAAAAGATAATGTAAGTAGTTTTCTGATACTGGTCGGTTAATTTCGCTAGTTTATTTTTCTGTGAGTGTAGCATTGTGATTCTTGTTCATCATTATAATTTCTAGTGCTTAGTACAGTGCCTATCCCCGCATAGGCAGTCAATAAGTATGTATTGGGAAAAGGAATGAACTAATTAATGACAGCCATGGAATTTTATATTGTTATCAAGTTATATCAAGTATAAACAAGGTGAATTCCATGTCCATGTAATATAGGATCATGATTTCCAAAAGTATTATAAAGATAAACATGTGCTGTTAGTTTTTAGATATTTATAAGGTTCATATTAGTATAGATTAACTTATGGTGTTCAGAGTAGCCAACCCAGATACTGGTTAAAAACCAAGCATTCAGTTTATTACAATACATCAGATTAACTTGGATGAATTTCCAGTTAGTATTTCTATAAATTTTTCTGATTTCTTCCACTTAGTTGTACTCATTTCAAAATTTATATGTTTATCCATGATTATATGTGAGGTACAGGAGTTACAAATGTAAATGAGACATGATTCTTGCCCTCAAGGAGTTTCACTTGACAGATTTCTTAATGAAAAATTCATAAGTGTATAGAACATGAAAGGAACAAGGGACTAGAAAAGTCTTTGAAGTCAATAAGGCAATTAAGCAAACCAAAATTGGATAAAAATTATGACTGAAATTGTGACCCAGTTGACTTTGCTGGAATACAGAGATACACTACTGACAATGGTTTTGATTTTAAATTACATAAAATTCTGAAGACTAGGATTCAAAAGAAGTTATGTAAATTATTAAAAATGCCACGTGCCATTTGAATATTAACCAGTATTCTGTTTGAAATAGGTGTGGCAGCTGACCGAATAGCAATTCAGTCCAAAGGTCGCTACACAGCCAATCTATCTCCTCAGAATCTGATCTCCTGCTGTGCCAAGAACCGACATGGATGCAATAGTGGAAGCATTGATAGGGCTTGGTGGTTCCTGAGAAAACGTGGGTAAATAGCTACCTGACATATGTTTCTAGGATTCTTATGAGTTCTTTTGGGGTTAGAATAAGGAAAAAAATAAATTGTAAGATTTTTACTAAAAAAATATGTATATATATGCTACACCTATATAAATATGTGTATTACCTTTAAATATATAAATATATTAATATATTTGGTTATCTACCAAGATTACAAGCTATTGGAGGTGATTATTTGATTAATAGTGATAGTGATTGATAGTGATAGTGATTATTTGAAGAATGTATACATTCCAGACTAAATTACTGGAAAGGCTCAAGTAAGCATTGTCTTCTTGTTGCTCTGTGCTAAATGGCTCTACTGAATCGCAGTGGGAATAGAGTAGTTGGCATTGCTGATACCCTGATGAGTCTTTGCGTTACCCAGGTAGATGGATAATGCTAGGTAAAAATTAGATGAAGAATAAGATGAATAAAATAAAGAATATATAGTTGCCTCAGCTTATCAACATCACTAAGTGTCACTGTCCCATTCAATGGGAAAAGGCAGGCTGTATTTCCTTACTCACATGTAGTCTGATACCTGTTGCATCCTCGTATCTACTGTAAGAGAGAATCTACGTAAAAGCTAAGTGATTTGGGTAAGGAAACTGCAGCTGATAACTAGTAGTATACATATGTACTGCTCACCTGTCCTTTTATCATCCACTGAGTACTCTAGGTTTGCTACAGAAGAGTCAGTTGCTATGAAAGCATGGATGTCAGATATTGATGGGTAGCAATAAATTTCTTTAAAAACATTTCATACATTTTGCTTAATAATGTGGTGGTTAGAATGAACAACTTGGGATGATACCTTCCTGGCATAGTAGTGCTTGGATGGCTTCTGTTTTGAAGTATGACAAAAATTAACAGAAGCTATAGAAGAAGCTCAGAAATAGAAATTAACATTGAGACCCAACTAAATCTTACTGTGGTGGTCTTCTCAGGTTACCATAACAAAATGCCATAGACTGGGGAGCATAAACAACAGGACTTTATTTCCCATAGTTCTGACGGCTGAGAAGTCCAAGATCAAGATATTAGCTGAATTAGTCCTGGCGAGAAACCTCTTCTCATTTGCCTTTTTGTTGTGTCCTCACGTGGGGGAAAGAGAGTGCTAGTATCTCTTTCCCTTCTTGTAAGGGCGCGAATGTCAGTGTGAAGGCCCCAACTCCATCACTTCATTTAAAGCTAATTATCTCAAAGGCCCCTCCAAACACCATTACATTAGGTGTTGGGGGGTTCAATACATGAATTTTGGGTGACACAATTCAAGCTACAGCACTGATTATCCCAAAACAATATGTTTAATGCAAGACTTTTTGGAAGTATTCATAGTCTTTAATGGCTTTGCTTTCATCATGCTCCTTGCTCAGATTCTCTTACTCTCTTGAACACTACTGAATTTTTCTGAAGCAATCCTATTGGATATTTCTATGGCCAATTCAAATTGAATATATATATATATAATCAAATTTTTTTGAACTTGGGATATTTATTTATTTATTAATTTCCTCAAAACATTTTTTTATTTTTATTAACATATAATGTATTATTTGCCCCAGGAGTACAGGTCTGTGAGTCATCAGGCTTACACATTTCACAGCACTCACCATAGCACATATCCTCCCCGATGTCCATAACCCAGCCACCCTATCCCTACCCCCCAACCCCCAGCAACCCTCATATAAAATCAATTTTATGGCTTATTTTCCTTATGATCTTCTTCTATATTCAATAAATAACTTTAGTTTTGGTTCCAAATAATTTGTATTTTACTATGTTCGGTTTCAAAATCAGAATTCAAAATTATTTTGTTTATTCTTCTGTATGATGTGTGTGTCTGATAACTTTCTACTCTATTAACTTTAAACACTATCTTAGTGTATAGTATTTCTCTCAAAATATGCTGAACCACAGAAACATATTGAACAATTGAAATCCTATGAGGAGTTATTTATAACTCAATAAAAATTTAAAAATAAAACAAAGAACAAAACATCCTTAATTATAATACTTACATCATTGATCAAAATACCCCATCTCATCATAATAAAATCATTGTCTTTTTCACATTAAACTTGGTTTTTCTACATTATAATTATAGATACAGGATGAAGTCCTGCCCCTATTAATATTACCACAGATTTTATTGGCAGTCACTTTTCATCTTTAGGAAATTCTGTACTGTAGATAAATTATTTATTAAAATGAATTGAAACAAGACTTTTAAAATTACAATAAAAATGAGGGGGCAGGGAAGAGTATAATATATTGAACTGGTATGTTGGAGTTAATCCACATTTTGAATGTTACACATGTGAGCAGTTAGGAAAATTTATAAATGTTTAATTCAGTAAAATTGCACATAGATAGTATATTACAGCATTTTCCTAAGTATTACTTCTTTGCTAATTCCTCATAGACTGGTGTCCCATGCATGCTATCCACTTTTCAAGGACCAAAATGCTACCAATGATGGCTGTGCCATGGCAAGTAGGTCTGATGGGCGCGGAAAACGGCATGCCACAAAGCCATGTCCCAACAACATCGAGAAATCGAACAGAATCTACCAATGTTCTCCTCCATACAGAGTGTCCTCCAATGTAAGTCTAAATGGCAAGAATTAACAATGGTTAACTTTCTCAAAAAGACATAGCTCTGCTGTTATTTAAACTCTTTAAAAACTATTATATTCTAAAGTAATGTTAGTTTTCAGAAATAATTTTTATATTCCTAAAGTGTCCATTAAAAGATTTCAGATTTCTGATCTTTGTATTATTAACAGCATGAATAATTATGTGACATATATTTACATACTTGACAAATAAAAGCTAAATCAGGGGTGCCTGGGTGGCTCAGTGGGTTAAAGCCTCTGCCTTTGGCTCAGGTCATGATCTCAGGGTCCTGGGATGGAGCCCCACATCGGGCTCCCTGCTCAGTGGGGAGCCTGCTTCCTCCTCTCTCTCTGCCTGCCTCTCTGCCTACTTGTGATCTCTGTCTGTCAAATAAATAAACAAAATCTTAAAAAAAAAAAAAACTAAATCAGACCTTTTTTCACTGACTTTACAGCAGTAGTAGTTCATTGTGCCAATCCTTTGCCTTAGTCCACAAAATAATTGAAGTAGACATAGCCATTATGGGAAAATGACTCCCTTAGATACTAGTTTTTCATGTTGAAAGCCTGGATAAATTTTACTTCATCATATCAGTGTTACCCAGACCTCACTTTCAGAATATCTGAAACTTCAGTGGCTTTCAGTTACCTACAGAATATGGTTTAGTTACCTACAGACTATGGCATATAGGTCTTCTATGATTTGGTTCTGACCTACTGCCTTTACAGACTTTTGTCCTATCTGCATATGCTCCTCCACCTGCTCATAATGCTCCTGATAAACAGGACTACTGTCTGCTCCCTAGACACATGGTGCTCTCTCATGCTTGTCTACTTAGGCAGATGATGATTCCTCTGACCCATGTTGGTTATCCCACCTATTTCCATCAGTAGAATCCCACACATGGTTCAAGGCCCAGGTTAAAACTTCATCTCCTCTGTGACCTTTCCTTGACTCCTACACAGGATTACTTTTCATTTGCATCCCTGGGAACTTGGAGCTTATCTTTGTAATAGAACTTAATATATTATAATGCAATTAGTTGTGCTACTGTCTGTCTACTCCACCAAAATGTAAATTCCTTGAGACAGGTACAGGGTCAGTATTTGTTTCTGTCCTAGTTTTTTGTATATACTCTGTGATCAATGCACATACATGAATGAATGAATAAATGAATGACCTGCCTTTTTACTAAGGGCTGCATCACACAGTGGGTGACAACATAGAAATATTTATACACTATAGCCACACTGAGGACCTCACTAAACAATCATCTGGGGTTCTTGTGATCAAAAGAATGGAGATGACACAAATCTCCACTGATAAAACATGGTTTTAATTAATTATTTTTTATCTGTGACCAGAAAAAGTTATTACTTTATTTCTTCTTCATTCCAAAATTATCACCAGTGGAAAAAGTCAATGAAACAAATGGGTCCATCTTGTCTTTAGCAACTTAATCAATGTGCTGTTTCACACTAAGTATTTCAAGGCATTATTAAGAGTAAATTATAAGTGGTCAAGGCACATTGGATTGTATAATTCTTAAATTGATTATGCAGCACCTAACTTATACACCAAACAATAGGTATAGTATGCTCTGATAATAATGTTTATTGATGCTTTCCCTTCTAGGAAACTGAGATAATGAAAGAAATCTTGCAAAATGGACCAGTTCAAGGTAAGTTTGAATGAAATATGGTTGTGTCTTATTTCTTTCATAAACAATATGACCTTTCAATTCATGCAAAAGGAGCTTAATAAAAGACAGAAAATTTTTACTTTTAGAGTGTTCATAAAGGTTCAACAGTTCTAATATCAGTGCAATTATAGCATATATGCTACCTAATAACTTCATTATCTGCCATTTTATTTTAAGAAGATAGGCACATTCATTGAGTTCCTAAATATTAATAACACATTTGATGAAAGTCTGCTGAATCTTTCCAAAAGTGATCATGGGCCAAATAGACAATCAAACATGAAATGCTAAATGGTAGAGCTCATTTAATTATTCAGTCATATTTAAGAATCATACATAGTATTAGAAATTTCCTCACCTTCACTTTAAAGGGATTAGGTAATGGATTGAAAAAAAATAAAGCTTTAGCAGTAGAAAAAAATCTAAATATTTTCCTTTTTCCGTAAACTCAAAATAAATTAAATAAGCCAGTGTGATTTTTGTGTTTTATAAAATGCCTTGTATTTTGATCAATTTTGTAAATGTGTTATGGCTAGTAAGTTAACAATAAATAAGAAAATGATATACTGAATTTACATTAACTTTCATTTTTAAGATATCATCTGTGAGATGTAATTCCTCTGTTTACCCACTGAATTTTATTTTGCACCACTGCAATGGATGAAGAAGATAGGTTTATAGAATATATTCCCTGACTAAACATTGCCTTGAGCAGCATGGAAGAACAAAGCAAGTGAGGCCTAAAACGGAAATTCAGGTTGTGAACATGTGAAAGCCCCAAAATATATTATCAGTGGAATGAACCAAATAAATTTAAATTAACCAAAATTAAATTTAAAACATTTGATATACACCTAAGGAATTATTGGTCAACAGCTGCTTTAGCTTTTCTGAATGCTGACCTAATTAGTACTAGTTCAGCATCTAGCAGGAATCACAGATTTTAAAGTTGTGTTGGAACGATCCTTATTGATCATTATCATCACTTAACATTTATTGAGAAACTAGAGCTTACACTAAACGTGTCCTGAATTTAATTCTAAAAATCCTGGGACCTTAAACAAAACCTGGATAAATGAAGAGAATTTTTTTTTCCTTATAATAATGTAATTTTTATTAGGTGTTATAAGACTGGGGGAGTCATATGTAATTTTACATGCATGCTTCAGTAAGTTAAGTTCATGTGACAAATTTAAAGGAGCATAGGCATTGGGAGTCAAGGCTGAATTCAAAATTCCACCTTTGACGTTTGCTACTTAGAATGATTTTGGGCAAGTTATTTCAGTTCCCTGAATCTTCAAGTCATTGTATAACTGTTTCAAGTTTCTCTATTTCTCTCTTTTAATGAGTCAGAAGAAATTTGGATCATAATTCTTTAAAACTGAGAGCCCCAGGGGTTTATTTTATAGTCAAGTACTTAAATGTTCATGAATTTCACATAATACATAAAAAATAATCAAAAGTGAGAATCACAGTAAGAATCAAATGATAAACATTTTAAAATAGTGGAGTTGAAATCCAAATTATTCAACGCCTATGTCAAGAACGTACCTCCTGCCAGCCCGAGCCAGGAGCAGAAGATAGTGTTGCCATCAAGGTGAGCTCCATCCTGCCCTCGGCCTCCTAACAATGCGGTGTGTATGCTTGCGGCAGTTTTCCAAAAGCAAAATTGCACTACAGTAACATATGTTATGTCCTTACGGGCTTATCAGGTCAGTTTTGGTGTCAGAAACTGAAACAAAGAGCTACCTTCAAGTTAATTGTAATGGTCTCTCTCCCACGCTTCTTCTGTCAGTACTGTTTCTCAGCAATGAAGCATATATTTTATTCCTGGTGCTTAAGGAGAGTTGAGAGGAGCTGAAGGGGTCAATGGTTCCACAGAAGAGAAAACCCACTAGCAGTATCTTCACATTTATATAAGTGCTGGTTGACTCATCTTGCTGTAGATGCCACATGATTGTCAGCACAGCATTGCCTGGTTAACATACAACATTTTCTCCTCGCTCAGTCCAAAGAATGGAAAAGGCAATAGAATGTTGGGTAAATAACAGGGTGTACATTCTTCTAAAATCTGTAGAATTAAAAATAAGTTTAGGTGCTGAAAAGAGAACAAAACAAGATCTGCATAAAGTACAGTTATATAAATTCTTAAAATCCTATGGGAATGTATTTTATTTATTTTTTGGGGGATGTATTTAAAGTAGATAAAGAAGACCTAACCTCTTTTGAGAATATTCAAACAGCATAAGAAAAAGCATGAAACATTGAAAAAGGAGATAAAAGGTGGAACATCAAAAAGCTATATATGACTTTGGAGTAGAAGTTTCATTTTAGGATCTGTCAAATACTTGTGACCTTAATTTTTTTATTATTATTTAAAAAAACATGTCAAACTAATATAGACAAGCATTGTGCATTTATCAAGGTATACTTATCTAGTCCCAACTAAAAATATTTTTAATTCATGTCTTCTGGAAGTTTAAAGTCTTCACCCTGAATTGTCTAAGCCCTTCAACAAAGCAGCACATGATATAGAAAAGACGTAATCTAGGTGAGGGAATGAAGGAGAGCTTTATCAAATATAAGCTTTTACTTTCTTAAGAATACAACAATGGCTTAGCTCTCCAGAGCTGGGAGGATGAAACTTTGTCAGAGTATGCTTGGGCCAGAGGTTTGCTTTTTATTCACACTCACCAAGAAAAGGTTTGCATTTATTTCCAAGGATTAAGGACAATTACTTTAAGCCCTGTTTGCTAGGTTCACCTTTCACTGCTAGCTTAATTGGAGTTTTAAGAGGCTCCTGGTGAAGTCCAAGGTTAATGGAGAAATAGCAATCACCAGCCAAGTGCACTGGGGCTTCTCTGCAAGGGTCTGAATTCCTAGTAACAATGGTACTGTCAATTAAGAATAGATGGTGTTTTAAAGGTATAATGTGTACTTAAGTAATATCCTAAGTAGCTAAAAGTTGTTTTTATAAGAGAACAACAATAAAAAATTGCAGCAATTAAATAAAGTAGAAAAGAAAATTAGGCTGAGTTGCAAAGTCCCTCCTTAGATTCTCCTGCTGGCATTTTAACCGTTGATTGTTCTGTGAGAATTTCTAGAGATTTTAAAAGAGATTTGTTTAAAACTGTTTCATTCTGTTGGGTTTTATTTTAGCCATAATGCAAGTCCATGAGGATTTCTTCCATTATAAGACAGGGATATATAGACATGTTACCAGAACAAATGAAGAAGCAAGCAAATATCGAAAGCTCCAGACGCATGCAGTCAAACTTACTGGGTAAGGCAATTTCTTAAAAATCTTCATTTAATGCTTTTGGGAAATGAAACTGAACATACATGTGCATACAGGTATCAGAATTCTCCTTGGTATGAAAGAGTTCTTTACAAATTAAAGGTTATCCAAACCTGGACACTATTTAGTCATTATTTTAAAGTCTGGTTAAAAGGTAACTCAATATTCTGGAAAAGATGATCATTTCCTCTCTCTCAGTTGTGAGTGTATTCTAAAAATCTGTTTTAAGGACAAGGGAAATATATTATTGGAATAAATTGTACATATGGCATAAGCAGGGAAAGAGTACAAATCCAGAGAATATTAGGATTTGGAAAGAAGGTTTTAGACAAAATTATGAATGGAAGTGATTAGCAGGAAGAAAGAAAAAATAGGGTCACCTTTAATTCAGTATGAAATTACTTTTTGTATTTCTTTGAGCATTTTAGAAATTACACTTAGCAAATTGTGGGTAAAATACATTCATCTCTACGAGGGCAAGAAATAGCTTCAAAATCGGCTTGCATTATGAGTAAGTAGATTCATAAATAGACTGTACTCAAAAGAGAGTGTGGTCATCTGAGACCACTTTCCCCAGTGCCTTCTCCAGCTCATTCTGACTCTGCCCTGCCTTTAAGACCTTTCTTCTAATGTCTCAGTCCCACTCCAACAAAATGCTACAGGAAATGTTTCTGGGTCTTTTTTTTTTTTTTCCATGTCCATCCATGTCCTCACTTTGCCATCATGGTAAATGACTTTGCTCCTATTGAACATGTCCTTCCTGTCAAAATTTGGTTAAATCATTCTTATACATCTCCTCACCTCTCCTCCTCTTCCACATCTTATATTTATTAGTAATATTATGATTCTTACATATTACAGGATTATAGAATTTACATTCTGCTCTGAAACTATAATACTAATAGTTGCTTAAGCTTTATGGTGTATTAATAGAGTCAATGATAAGCAAATATGTTTATGATGGCTTTTCTGTCCTTGAGTTTAATTTTTATCAGTTATGTTGTTGAATAATTTTGTTAAATTATTTTCCAGCAATTATTGTTTTAATTTATCATTTTTTAAATTAATTTTTTTAATCAAGAAGGACTCTTAATGCCTGTGTTCCCTAATTTCTTACATGTTTGAGGAAGTGTTTGTTTTCCTTTAATTCAAGAATAATACTATGTATAAAATTCTGGGATATAGTAACTTCAGAACTTTGCCAATGTTGCTCCAGGGTTTCTGGCATTAAGTTTTCCTGCAGAAAAACCTCTGGCTAACCAAATGTTTCTGTCTCCTTAGAAGTGACATGACTTTTTCTATTTGAACACTCATACTTGTTTCTTTCATCCTTGAATTAAATATATTCACTTTTTAAAGTACATATTATACATATGTTGGATCTTCTATACCGCCTATTATCTTTTTAATAACATTTATACTGTAAGTTTATTTGTGTTTTGTTGTGTATGATTTCTTTCTACATTGTCCCATCTATCCTAGAACATTTATCATATTTGGCGTTTATTCTCCAAATGGCTCTTGCTTCTGAAATATTTATTTTTTTAAATATTTAATTTATTTATTTGACAGACAGAGATCACAAGTAGGCAGAGAGGCAGACAGATAGAGAGAGGGGGAAGCAGGCTCCCTGCTGAGCAGAGAGCCCGATGTGGGGCTCAATGAGCCCGATGTGGGGCTCAATCCCAGGACCCTGGGATCATGACCTGAGCTGAAAGCAAAGGCTTTAACCCACTGAGCCATCCAGGCACCCCATCTCTGAAATATTTTTATATATTTTTTTCTTTTGATTGTCCTTCAAGCTCTTTGAGCTATGGGTTAGAGAGTTCATATAATTTCTTTGAGTGTATGTCTGACTTCTCTAGTGTTTTTGAATAATTCTTTTTGAGCTGTACATCTTCATGGGCTTTCCCTACCTTCTTTTGCAAAATTTAATCTTAAAGTTATGCATTTTACTCTCTATCATGTCCTCTCTTTCTACTGCACTTTCTCTACCCTCACCTCAAAAGTTCCTCAGCCCCCTACATACTATCAATGAATTATGGCATTCAGTCTGGCCACTATTCTAACCCTCTGCTTGAGGCTACACTTCCTTTCTTATCTAGTTAAAATACCATGGCTAATCATTATACTCAATCACACACCTTGGACTCCTCTGGCCCTGCTTCATTCATCATACTTGCTTATCAAAATATCAACTCTGGTTAAATTCTATTTGGCCTATTTTTTTTTAATTGTGTTTATTTATTTATTTTTAAATTCCAGCATAGTTAGCATACAGTGTATATAGTTTTAGGTGTAAAATATAGTGATTCACCAGTTCTATACATTAATCAGTGCTCATGAAGATAAGTGTATTCTTAACCACTTTACCTCTTTCACCCATTCTCCCACCCATCTCGCTTCTGGCAACCAGCAATTTTCTATATTTAAGAATCTGTTTTGTTGTTGTGGTGGTGGTTGTTATTGGTGGTGGTCTCTTCATTTATTTGTTTTGTTTTTTAAATTCCACATATGAGTGAAATCATATAGTATTTGTCTTTCTCTGACTTATTTCACTTAGCATTATACTCTTTAGCTCCATCCATGCCATTACAAATGGTGAAATTTCATCCTTTTTTATAGCTGAATAATATCCCATTGTGTGTATGTGTGTGTATTTATGTGTATGTATATATATACACATACACATGTATATGTGTATATACGTGTGTGTGTGTGTGTGTGTGTGTGTGTGTGTATCCATTCATCTATTGATATTATTATCCATTCATCTATTGATGGATACTGGGACTGCTTCCATATCTTGACTATTACAAGTAATGCTACAATAAACCTAGGGGTGCATATATCTTTTCAAATTAATGTTTTTGTAACCTTTGGGTATATGCCCAGTAGTGGAATTTCTAGATCATATGGTAATTCTATTTTTAACTTTTTGAGGAACCTCCATACTGTTTTCCACAGTGGCTGCACTGGTTTGCATTCCCAACAGTGCATGAGAGTTCCCATTTCTCCACTCCTCACTAGCACTTATTCCTTGTGTTTTTGATTTTAGCCATTCTGATAGGTGTGAGGTAATATCTCTTTGTGGTTTTGATTTGTATTTCCCTGACGATCAGTGATGTTGAGCATCTTTTCATGTGTCTGTTAGCCATCTGTATGTCTTTTTTTAAAAATTAAATTTAATTTTTTTCAGTGTTCCAAGATTCATTGTTTATACAGTACACCTAGTGCTCCATTCAATACGTGCCCTCCTTAATACCCACCACCAGACTCACCCAATCCTCTATCCCCCTCCCCTCAAAAACTCTCCATTTGTTTCTCAGAGTCCACAGTCTCTCATGCTTTGTATCCTCCTCTAATTTCCCCCAATTCACTTTTCCTTTCCTTCTCCTAATGTCCTCTATGTTATTCCTTATGCTCCACAAGTAAGTGAAACCATATGATAATTGACTTTCTCTGCTTGACTTATTTCACTCAGCATAATCTCCTCCAGTCCTGTCCATGTTGATACAAGAGTTGGGGATTTATTCTTTCTGATGGCTGTGTAATATTCTATTGTATATATGGACCATATCTTCTTTATCCATTTGTCTGTTGAAAGGTATCTTGGCTCTTTCCACAGTTTGGTGATTGTGGCCATTGCTGCTGTGAACATTGGGGTACATATGGCCCTTCTTTCCAGTACTTCTGTATCTTTGGGGTAAATACCCAGTAGTGCAATTGCAGTGTCATAGGGTAGCTCTATATTTAATTTCTTAAGGAATCTTCACACTGTTTTCCAAAGTGGCTATACCAACTTGCATTCCCACTGACAGTATAAGAGGGTTCCCCTTTCTCCACATCCTCTCCAACATTTATTGTTTCCTGTCTTGTTAATTTTGGCCATTCTAACTGGTTTAAGGTAGTATCTCAATGTGGTTTTGATTTGAATCTCCCTGATGGCTAATGATGATGAACATTTTTTCATGTCTGCTAGCCATTTGTATGTCTTCTTTGGAGAAGTGTCTGTTCATGTCTTCTGCCCATTTTTTGACATGATTATCTGTTTTTTGAGTGTTGAGTTTGAGGAGTTCTGTATAGATCTTGGATATCAGCCCTTTGTCTGTAGTGTCATTTGCGAATATCTTCTCCCATTCCATGGGTTGCCTCTTTGTTTTGTTGACTATTTCCTTTGTTGTGCAGAAGCTTTTGATCTTGATGAAGTCCCAAAAGTAATTTTTGCTTTTGTTTCCTTTGCCTTTGGAGACTTTTTTTTTTTTTTTTTTTGAGACATGTCTTGAAAGAAGTTGCTGTGGCTGATGTCAAAGAGTTACTGCCCGTGTTCTCCTCTAGGATTTTGAAAGATTTCTGCTTCACGTTGAGGTCTTTTATCCATTTTGAGTTTATCTTTGTGTATGGTGTAAGAGAATGGTTGAGTTTCATTCTTCTATACACAGCTGTATGTCTTTTTTGAAAGGTTTCATTTAACCAGAAATTTCAAGCAGTTATTTAATACTACCAGGCAATCATATTCTGGATTCCTATTTTGCTTCATGCCCCTCCCTTCAATTGATTATCTCAAAACTTACTCTTTTTCCTTGAATTCCCAATACCTACATCCTTATGTTTTTAGCTCATAACCCTGAATTCTATTTCACCAAAAAGAATAAAGCAATCTGAGAACAACCTGCAGTATCACAGATACCACCTACTCACATGCCTTCCCTCATACTCTTTCTTCCCACTTCTTACATAGATAAAACATCCATATTCCTATTTAAATCCCTCTTGCTATAGTGTAGACCCCAAACCCTCTCCACTATTCAAGAATATAGGGAAACGACTTTCTGTTTTTTTTCTCTGTAATCAAAAAAAATTATTTCTGCTACAATATAAGCATGCAATTATTTCTCAGATAGTATGAAAAAATACTTTCAAGATTGTCTAGATTTATTTTCTTCAATTTTTCTCTGCCCATGTTTTCTTAAACTTCTTCATCA